CGCCCGGCCGTGCCCAGGGAAAGCAGCGATGCGCTCCGGAGCGCCCCTTGCGCCCGGCCCCCTCCTGCTGCGCGGGGCTCCCGCCGGGCCGCCGCCAGGGGGCGCCCCAGTGCCCAGCAGGGACGCGGCGACCCCTGCTGGACGGGTGCCCGCAGAGTGTCCTGGGGGTGCCTGGAGTCAGCTGGGATGCCCGAACCCACTGTTAATGGGGGGTGTCCCCTGCTCCTGCCTATGGGATGTGTCCCCAGTGCCACCCTGCCCAGGGCATGTCCCCAGTGCCACCCTGCCCCATGCCACTCTGCATGCTACCCCTGGGGCCTGCAGACTCCAGCATGGGGATGAGCCCATTGGGCTCCCTGGCCATAGACTCAGTCCTGCCCGGCGTGGTGGGTGCACCGAATGCAGAGCTGGGAAAGAACTCGCACAGGGTCACAGGCAGAAGCCAGGTGTCCTGAACCCCAGTGCTCTATCCCCTAGGCAACTCTGCCCTTCAATCTGGGCTGGCTGGAGCCTCTAGCCTCACCCATCTGCTGGGGGTCGGAGCTGCCTCCAGCGACCCAGGAAGAAGGCCTTACTCCCGGTAGGATGCTGCAGCCATTAGATTCCAAGGACAGTGCCTGGGGCCAGGAGGGTGTCCCTGCAGCCCCTGCTGGCCCACGCCCCGTGGGAAGCTGTGTCATCAGTATTACAAAACACTGCACGGAGGCCGTGCCCTTGGGAAAGTCACCCAACTGTTTGCCCCTCCCCTCCGCCGCTGAGCTAAGTCCTGAGTGCCAACCCCCTGCTCTAGCCACTATCTCCCACCCCAGGGTTGGGGATGGAACCCAACTCCCCCCAACAAGCCCCAATTCTGAGCCCTTTCAGCTGAACGTCCCAGTCCCTGCTGGTCTCTGTTTACCCCCAGCCCAGTGAGATCTTCCCTGTTCCAGCCCTGATGGGTCCCTGGATGCTGACGAGCTGGGAGAACTGGGGCTGACACGGTCCCAAGCTGAACTGGGGCTGTCACCACAGCCCCATGGATCCTAGCACCCGCCAGGCGCTGGCCCTGTGTGTCCTGCACTGCCTGCTGTGCCACCGCACTGCCTGGGGAACATCTCCCCAACAGGGTGTCCGTGAACAGGCCTAGCCCAGCCCCACAGCTCCTACATCTCGGGCCCCAGAAGCAGCCCCACTGACTTCCCCCCATGTCTGGTCCTGGCCCAGCCCCACTGCTGTGGCACAGTCTGGGCCCAGGCACACGTCAGGAGTTCTGGCAGCTCTTGGGCAGGCATAAGAGAGAGAGAAGGGGCCTTGGTGACAGACCAAGCAATAGCTGGGGAGAGGGTAATGGCTGGCGATGAGGGTAGATGGGGTTGGCTGGGGATGGGGCTGGCTAGGAACAGGGATACCAGTTTACGTTTGGTCCAGTAAGAAAATCTGGGCTGTTCTCCCATCATGCATCAGAAGGAGGCAGAGAAGCATTGGGAGCGGGGCGGTGCATTCTGGGATTGGCTTGGGGGGGGGTCTGTCTACACTAGCCAGTGTGCAGGCCCAGATATCCCCTGAAATGCGGTGCTGTGGGACCTAGGCCGAGCTCAGGGGATGCCTGGAGTTTACGTTTGGTCCAGTAAGAAAATCTGGGCTGTTCTCCCATCATGCATCAGAAGGAGGCAGAGAAGCATTGGGAGCGGGGCGGTGCATTCTGGGATTGGCTTGGGGGGGGGTCTGTCTACACTAGCCAGTGTGCAGGCCCAGATATCCCCTGAAATGCGGTGCTGTGGGACCTAGGCCGAGCTCAGGGGATGCCTGGTAGTCAGATAGGGTGGCTCATTGCGGCTTATCAGCCTGACCCGGCTTCTGCTGACTGGCAACTTCCTGGGCCAAGTGGCCGTGGCTTGGTGGAGCCAGGGAGCAGCACCCAGCTGCTGGAGAGCTGGGTACATAACAACTGAGGCCTGGGCCCATCTAGTCCAGTATCCAGCCTCCGACAGGGCCAGCTGTTGTGTGCAGAGCCAGCTGCCCCTCTTACAGGAGACGGAGAGGAGAGGGCTGATTTCATGTTTGCATTAGGAAATTATTTCAAAATAACTAATTTTGGAATAATGACTCCAGAAATAACTGGATGCTCGAATTTAGTCCGAGGCAGGCTCCGCCTTGGAGCCCCAGGAAACACTGGGGAGTCATTACTCTGAATGACGCCGGGGAGTAGCGATTTCGAAATAGCAGCTGTGGCGCGTCCACATGCCCGGGCTTTCGAAATAAGCGGTATTCCTTGTGGGAAGCAGGAGTTATTATTGGAAATAACCAGCCCCTTATTTCACAGTGACGGGCTCAGTTGTGTGGACGCGCTGCGTGTTATTTCGAAATAATGGGGGGTTATTGTGAAATAACTCCCCAGTGTAGAGCAGGGCGTTGTGAGCGCTCCTCACAAGCGGCACTTCTGCCCCACTCCCCACAGCGCCCCCTGCTGGGAGAGACTGTCCCCTGCACAGAGTGTGTGTCAGCCTGAGCCAACCTCGCAGGGGCGGGGGGACGGGGGGCTTGTCCTTGGTGTCAGAGGATGGAAAGGAGGCAGGCAGCAGGAAGAGATGGGGGAGGGGAGATGGGGAAGGCGGTGTTACAGGGGAGCAAGCGAGGACGGGGACTACGACAGGGCGGGGTGGGGAGGGGGGTCCTGGCCAGCAGGGCAAGTCAGAGACACTGAGCAGGATGGGCCAGGTTCGGGAAAATGGGCAGGGCAGAGGGGAGTGGGTGGTTGGGGGGGATGAACTCGGGACCTAGGGGGAGGTCCCGGTGTCCCCACTTCCTCGCCTGGGCCCATAGCTGCAGCCCAGCCCCATAGCCCCTTCCATGCTCCACCGCCTCCTGGCAGCCGTGATCTCATGCCGGGCCGGGGGAGCAGCTGTCCTGGGCTCCACCTGCTCCGGCACCCAGGTCCTTTCACACATGCCCCACTGCAATGAACAGGTCACACAGCCTGCCTCCCCTGGGGGTCACGCTGGGTGGGCACAGGGGCTGAAGCTGGGGGGTGTGTGTGCATGGGACAGACGGGGAGGGCACAGGTGCATGGGCCAGGGCAGGATGGGGGAGCCGGGGGAGCAGCTGTCCTGGGCTCCACCTGCTCCGGCACCCAGGTCCTTTCACACATGCCCCACTGCAATGAACAGGTCACACAGCCTGCCTCCCCTGGGGGTCACGCTGGGTGGGCACAGGGGCTGAAGCTGGGGGGTGTGTGTGCATGGGACAGACGGGGAGGGCACAGGTGCATGGGCCAGGGCAGGATGGGGGAGCACATGGGCCAGGGCACAGGTGGGGAGGCAGGTGCCTGGGATGGAGCGGGGGGAAGGGGCACAGGGCTTACCTGGCCTGGCACCGGGATGCGCCGCTCACAACTCCAGGCTGTGATCTGGCGAGTGCTGAAGCAGCTTTGCCTGGGGCTGGGGCTGCAGGGAGGGGCCCGCCAGGCATGTGGCCGTTCCCGGTGGGGCCTGGACTCCCCTGCTTCTCCGGCATGTTTAGGGAAAGG